AAACAACGTTTGAAGACTTCGGGTCGTCCGCTGACAGACTCTGTCTTTTTGGTTTTCCTTTTGTCCTGTTATTTCAATGCTGCAATAGCTGTGGGTTGGTGATCATTTTGAGTGAATATCGGAATACTTTGACTTGCATCGTGACGGTGGTATTCTTCTTTTGTGCCTGTGTTCAGTCTGGGTAGTTTTATTGCTCATGTAATCAAGTTTCCGAATAAGTACTGTCGCAACGTTTCTTAACATTTTTACCGTACACCAGACTTCGTAGGTAGCTTCATTCACGTGAAAGCGGGGTTCCATTTGATGTCTCTAAGAGTTTTTCCCGTATGTTGTGCAACTTACTCTATAAGATCAAGCAATATGTTTACGTATAAAATGTTTCTGGGCTTGAAGATTACCGTAGCCTTCAGGCATTAAAGGTTTTTTAAGTATTGACTTGTTGTATTTTAGGGGTCAAATGCAAAAAGAGGGCCTTAGATGAAATTCGATTGACTGATGTTTTGTGACTATGACCCCTCTTGATGACTTTGACCGCGTAATCAACCGACCTTTCTTCATTATTCATGAGCCGCTTGTTACGACTGTCATTACCGCCACGGCATTCAGAAGAAGGTTCAATTACTGGAACGACACAGTCTTATTTGCCTCACATTTCGACCTCCGTCGCAGATTCTTCTTCAGAGACATGAGCAGAAAGCAGTAGCAGAAGTGGCTTCGGAGTTTACTGATTGGGTTAAAAAGTGCGTGTTAAAAATTTAGTAACAAATCTTAGTGCATCTTATAAATACCCTACTGATTGATATAATCATTTATTCTCTTGTTGTTCTCCGTGCTTCGGTTGCGCACACTTGGAAGTAGCCGGGGTTAACATTTAAATAGCACAACTATTTTCCGGTTAATATCAATTTTCTTCCAGGTCGTCAGGTTACTTCTTGAAAACGGTGCCGATCGCATGTGACTAAGATAAATTTCATTCTGCATCATTTGTGGCTTCCAAACATCCGTTTCCGATTTCTGACACGATAAACACAGACGGTTAAACTCAGTAGGCACAGGTACTTTCAAACACCCCGAAATTGTTATCTTAAAGTAGAGTAAACTGTACTATCCCGTCTTGAACTAGTATGATTTTACCACGAAGCCTTTCTTAAGTTCCCATAACGTGTGTTAAAGCAGCCTACTGAACGTTATGCTGAATGAGCAAGTAATATTTTACTTCGGTCATTTGACGTTTATTGTTTCGTCAGTGCACCGTCTACCAGTCCTGACTAGCAGCACTAGTTAGCCGTTCCAAAACAACTATGACCATCTTCAAGAGGCAGACTAAAGTAGATGAGGATATTCATTGTTTCCCAATGCCTCGTCAAACCCATGCCTATCATTACAATCTACATGCATATTCAGTATTCATGCCAGCTCTTTGCCGCTAAAAGCGCACTTTTCCATCACCTGCGAAACCGTCGCGTTATGCTGGGAAACACAGTATTGCTAGCCGCAATCTACACTCGTCAAACCCGTTTAACCTCCGCAAACGGTCCTCGTATATTTTACCTTCGTCAGACCGCCGCAAGCCACGGCGTTTACTGGGTGCCCTACGACGGAGACACAGCACGGGCGACTCACGGGTGAATTTATAGATCG